CAGAGCAGGAATAAACCACAAGCCTCCTCTTTTTTAATAAACAGAAGCAAGACAAACTGTAGGAGCTCTTTTCAGCATTTTGATTCCGAGAACAGCTCTGCAGCTTTTTAAAAAGTCCACGGCACATTTTGTGCCGGCTAAATCATCCTTCTTGGAGGTGCAGTGCCCTCTCAACACGGAACCGAAAGGTGTGGCGTATTTGAATATTCCCTGCATGCCACTTGAAACAAGGCGTGCGTGCAGTGGGAAATCTGACATTCACTCGTTTTGCCGAAGGAACGTTTCGATCGTGTGTCTCTGCGCCCAGACGCACACGCACATAATCTCGAGCAGCATTTTGCCTGATGAAGGCTTTTCGTGACAGCTCCTTTGCCTCCCTTGCCACCCTGCGAATCCCCTCCGATGGTTTTTGGCGAAAGGGGACAGCGCTTCTTTGAATGCAATGCTTGGCATACTGCCCAGGACCTCTTAAAGCAAATGACTCCTGAAGACCTTTGGTGTCATTTTCCTCAAGATGACCTCTGCTTTCACGCCACTGGGTGAATCCATCCTGTTATTAATGCGTTCGGCTGAGAGGAGTAGCTATTCAAGCCTCACCCCTGAAGAGCATCCAAAAAGTGATGCGGTCAGCCTGCTTTTATCATTGGTAGCCTTTGAGGAGGACATCCCCGATCTAAGACCACACCAGTTCAGCCTCATCACAGGCGACCTGAAACAGGAGGCCGCGAGCCTGCTTTCACTGGCGAGGCCCGTTGATTCATTTAGCAGGCTTATTTAACCATCAGTTTATTAATAAGGAAAGAGCCTAAGAAACTGCGACAGCACCAAGGCAGCCAGAGACACTAAGCAGATTTATTAATTTAAGAAGGCTGATAACTTTCCTTCAGTTTATCTGGCAGAGTTGGTGCAAGGGAGTTATATTTTAATAAGTTTTCTACTCTGTACTGTGTGCTATTTTAAAAGGATTTCACAATAAAGGAAGCTGAAAGACTGTACTCAGTCTGGAGACTGTATCTAGTACGACATGAATATAGTATTTTAATCAGATTTAATCTTACAGTATTCCCTCCTCTACAATGACTTTGCAGGAGGAAACCTTATGGAAAGGAAAATCTGTTCACCCTATGCCACCAAACAGTGAATCGCGTTGCAGACTCCGACATCTCTTCCTACATATTAACATGCTTTCATCAGTGAATTTGGAAGCAGTTAAATTTTGGAGGGGGGGGGGGGAGCTGGATCCTGTTTGGTTCACTTTTGAGCTCATTTTCATTGCTTCTTATGTTTCACTGCAACAGCTCCAAGCGCTGGCGGGAGCAGGGCTGCTTGCAGCGGAGAGCACCGCAGCTTTTGAAGCTGATACCAGCAAAACTGATTGTTGCCCCATGCCCTTCGCAGGCACCACGGCCTGCTACCGAGGCCTGGCAGAGAACCTGTGTTTTAAAACGGGGGAAGCAGGGTTCAGGCTCCAGAAAAGTGAATCTGCCTGCTTTCTTTTAGAAAGGGCCTTAAGCTTAACTACATACACATGCTCAGAGATACACCCAAATAGATTTGGGAAACTCAGCCTTGGAAAGCTCGATTCTTCTCACTGCTTCAGTTTGTTTAAAATTCATGAAATGTAAATCCCTTCCCCACCCCCCCCTCACCCCCTGCTCCCTGCGGATGGATACCTCAGGGCCTGATCCAAAGCGCTGTGAAAAAAAGGCTGCCTTTGATTTCAGTGGGCTTTAGAGCACGCTCCAGGTGAGCACAGGTGAGAGGAAAAGAAAAAGAAAAAGAAAAAGAAAAAGAAAAAGAAAAAGAAAAAGAAAAAGAAAAAGAAAAAGAAAAAGAAGAAGAAAAAGAAAAAGAAAAAGAAAAAGAAAAAGAAAAAGAAAAAGAAAAAGAAAAAGAAAAAGAAAAAGAAAAAGAAAAAGAAAAAGAAAAAGAAAAAGAAAAAGAAAAAGAAAAAGAAAAAGAAAAAGAAAAAGAAAAAGAAAAAGAAAAAGAAAAAGAAAAAGAAAAAGAAAAAGAAAAAGAAAAAGAAAAAGAAAAAGAAAAAGAAAAAGAAAAAGAAAAAGAAAAAGAAAAAGAAAAAGAAAAAGAAAAAGAAAAAGAAAAAGAAAAAGAAAAAGAAAAAGAAAAAGAAAAAGAAAAAGAAAAAGAAAAAGAAAAAGAAAAAGAAAAAGAAAAAGAAAAAGAAAAAGAAAAAGAAAAAGAAAAAGAAAAAGAAAAAGAAAAAGAAAAAGAAAAAGAAAAAGAAAAAGAAAAAGAAAAAGAAAAAGAAAAAGAAAAAGAAAAAGAAAAAGAAAAAGAAAAAGAAAAAGAAAAAGAAAAAGAAAAAGAAAAAGAAGAAAAGAAAAGAGAAAAGAAAACCGCAAACAAAATAAGACCAGAAGAGGCTCTCTGAACATACCTAGGGGATGGTCAGTCAACAGAAGGCCGCTGGCGGGACACAGCCTGGGATGCCTGGACGGATCCTTTCGCTATGGGCAGGCCGCCCGCCCCTTTGTTCCGGGAGGCGAATTCAGAAACAAACAAACACGCAAACAAAACCGAGGGGAAGGGAGCAGCGTTTTGCCCGAGCTCACGCTGAAGTAGGGTGTCGAGCCTTACCGCCTCCATACGCAGTCATTAACATTTTTGCTTTACAGAGGGAAAAGCTACCCAGAACATTTTTCAGGGCTGTGCTTTTTTATGAATTAACAATTGAGAGAGGCAACCAGGGACGCTCCATTCTCTACCCCCGCTGGAAACTTAAAGACTCTGCTCGGTTTGTTAAGTGATTTTTTTTTCCCCTTCCCGGCATGGCACAGAGACATCACTTTTAGCAAACTTCTGCCCTGGCGTTGATTCCCTCCATGCAAGGCATCTCACAGAGATGCATTCAAAAAGCAAAGGAGACCATGTCACAAAGTCCACAGGGCTTCGGCCCGAGCCGCTAGCGAGGCAGGGGAAGCTCCCACCCCGCCATCGCTGCACTGCAACTGCAGGCCTGCACGTTTCATTGCTGCGTCAGAAAGTGTGCTGGTTTAAGAGCCAGACTTTAAAAAAAAAAAAAAAGGTACAGCAACATAGAAAATGATCATTTCAGAGAGAGATAAGATACAACCAGCTCGCATCGGGGGCACTGAGACGTTATCACACTGTGCCGGGTCAACCTGATACCGTGGTAGATAGCCGGGGCTGGAGCTGCCTGTCTCTGTCGTTACAAACAGCCAGCCCAGCTACAGCTTGCACCGATCCCTGTCCCTTTAGCTTTTCACTTGAAAAGTTAAGTCATATCCTGGACTATTTTTTGCATCGTGCCAGCTTAGAGCTCACAAATGTGAATGCACTCACCCCTCAAAGAGTGACAAATGCTATTCTCGATCCTCCCCCACAATTTCAGGCAGTCAAGAATTAAATGCGGCACGGCGTACAGTATTTTAATCTATTGATTTGTAGCCACTGTGCCCGAAAAAAATTCATTAGGAGAGCGTTAAAAGTGTGAAGTGGTTGAGCGCGCTCAGCTCCCTCCTGAAGGGACGAATCCTGCCAGCAGCAGCTCCCCTCCGCTCCGTCCTGGTGCGCTGCCGGGTGTTGCCGGCACCGAGACGAGCACCCAGAACAGGGACCTGAGGTATCTGACTACAGACTGCTCGCGTCTGTGTGTGTGTGTGTGTGTACAACCAGGATTGCTTTTTGTCCGGGCTAAGCAAACAAAATATATCACACTCTCCATAGCTACCCCTGGAATGCCCAAGCCGTATGGCAGCCACCGACAACACGCTCGCAGTGAGTTTCAGAGAGGGAGGGAAGAAAGCTTATTAAAAACCTTAATTCCTAACACTGAAGTATGCAGGCTTTTTTTTTTTCCTGCATGAAATTTTAAATTCAGCCATCTGAACAGGTGTCAGAAACAGTGGGTCCATTTAGCTCCTGTGATGATCTGAGCAATAAATATAGAGGATTTCCTTTCAATGCAGCACATGCTGAAACGACACCAATGTAGTTCTGGCATCTGAGCAGATAATTCTGATATATGCATCATTTCCTCCCTAAATCCAGGAAGCAGCTACACTCTGTATCTGATATTAGTATATTATGTCAAATAGAAATTGGTATTAAAATTATGAATGATTCTAGATCAAGAACTTCCTACACACTACACAGAGGGAGGGGGAGGAAACAGCTGCACAGAAGCTTTCGGAAAGGAAAGGAAAGAAGAGGTGGGAAAGTTCATTTTTTAAACTTAAATTTTGCTGCCATGTTTCGTGGTGGCGGGGGAAGTAGTTTTCGAGTGGCATTTTGATTCAGTTTATGCATTTTTGTTCAAAAAGGGGGAAGACGACTTTCGAATAAATAGCAGCTCTCACTGCTCCGTTTGCAGAGGGGGCTGCCTGGCTTTCTGCAAAGCGCCTGCCCAGCGGTGCTGTGCAGTTGTTCCAGAAATAAATATACACTGCCGTGCCTTGGGTATTTCTCCCCTCCCCTCTTCCCTCCCTCCCCCCCCCCGATACGGTCCAGGATGACATTTCTCAGGCAGTACAAACCCAGCAGGCCTCTGCTCCGTGGAGCGCGGGGATGCTGGGCAGAGGGCGAGGGCGAGCTGGGCTGGGGAGGAGACAGGGTTGAAGCACGTTGCGCTCCCTTTCACAGCCAGCAAAGGGCCGCTTTTTGTGTGCATGCCTCCCAGCACCGGTCACATGAAAGTTCTTTGTAATGTAGTTAATAAATGAGAACGAACTATAGGACTATGGTAGAAACAGGACGTTGTTAGTGATGTGGAGATTAAGCCCACGTATGCCTTTGGATGTGCAGCTCCCTGGTCCAGGCAACGCTCCCGCTGCCTTGAGCGGAAGCGGCACCTGCCCGAGAGCAGCAGGATCCTGCTCCCCCTTTGAAGCCAGTGGGGTTTTTACCTCTGAGTTCAACGGGAGCAGGATCGAGGCCAGAGTCGAGCGAGGGGCGCTGGATGAGTGGCGGTTATCCCGAGCAGAGCTAGTCCTCGGGCAGCAGTCCTGCTGCAAAGGGGGGGCTCACCTGAAATGAGCCAGACAGAGAACCCCAATAGTTGCTGTCCAGAACGAACACTAAAGCGTGCTTCAATTTTGTTTTCCTTTCTCCTTCAATTGGGAAGATACCGTGTTTCAGGCGGAAATTCAAATGCAGTCTGAAGAAAGCTGCATTTTTTTTATTATTATTTGCAAAAAGAGATTGCAATGTATAATAATGATGACAAGCTAGGAGACAGGCAAGCCTTTTTCCTCCTCCTGAGTAGGGTGTGTGATGGGAATTTTTCCCTCTTGCACGCTGGCTATTTCTAGGAAGGATTTCTCTTATCGCTGTTCATACATTTTTTTCCTCTCTCTCTCTCTCTCTCTCTCTCTGAGAAAGAAGATACTTAAGGGAGGCAGCAGTGCTCCCCTCGCTCTATGCTACTCTCCTAGGATTCACAATACTTTTAAAACGCTAGCACTGCTCATAACTTTGCCTGTGAGCAAGCCCGGCGCCGCAGAGCCGCGCAGCGTTAAGGCTGCACGGGGGGCTGCCGGCGCTGGGGCTCTGCG